GAGGACGTTTTCTATTGTGGACTAGTAAAAGGAGGCCATCAGTCGTTGTTCCACTTTATGCTTTCGCAAGACCCTAAGGAAATGGAGTCTCTGTTGGGCCTTTCTGAACACCTGGGTTATGTTTTCCAAGTTTTCCAGGTAAGATCTTCACTGAGGTAGACTCCCAGGAATTTAAAGAAGGAAACTCTTTCTACACAGCCCCCCTCTATGTAAAGTGGGGCAGGTTCCTTTGTCTTCTTCTGGAAGTCTAACATCTAGTTTCTACCCGTGGGCTGTCAGACTTCTGAATGGAAAATAACACAGATTTGTGGGGCCAGTGTGTTGTGCAACAAGGTCACATAGTGTAATAAGATTGGGACTGGGTTAGGGACTTCTGTCCTCACTGTGAGTTGCATTGGGGGTGTGTGCATGAAGGGAGGCTCAGCCAATCTCATTGTACATATGTTGTACTTTGACAGTAAAGGTAATAATATCTCCTTTGTCTTGCTGGTGTTTAGGTGCAGGTTGTTTTCTAGGCACCATGAGGATAATTTTTGAACCTCCCCCTGTACGCTGTTTCGTCTCCACCTGTAATGAGACCCAATACGGTATCATCTGTGAACTTAATGATCACAGTGGATGGGTGAGATGATACATAATCATGTGTTTACAGTGAGTACAGGTAGGGACTGAGCACACAGCCCTGTGGGGAGCCAGTGCTGAGCTTCAAGGAGGTGGATGTGACAGACCCAGCCCTCACTGTTTGTGGTTGGTCCCTCAGAAAGTCTTTGATCCAGTTGCGGATGGAAGAGGGAAAATCCAAGCAGTCAGCTTTTCGATAAGGATGGTCGGCAAGATAGTATTGAAGGCCGAGCTGTAGTCAATGAAAAGCATTCTGACAGTTTCCAGGGTTTCTCCAGATGGCTCGCTACAGAATGTAAGGCAGTAGCTATGGCGTCATCTGTCGATCTGTTCCCCCTGTAGGCAAACTGATGTTTGTCAAAGTCTGGTGGGAGGCATATCCTAAGGTGTTGGAGAACCATAGATCTGTAGTCATTTAGACAGTTAATTGCTGTTTTCTTCGGGACTGGGACAATAATGGCTGTTTTCAAGCATGATGGAACACAGGCCGTTTGCAGGGAGATGTTAAAGATATTTGTCAGGTCCCCTGCTAATTGATCGGCACAAGTCTTTACCACTATCTCCAGCACTCCATCTGGACCTGCAGCTTTACTGGAATTCACAGCCTTAAGTGCAGCTCTCACTTGAGGTTTGTATAGAGTGAATGGCTGGGAATCAGAAGGCTGGCAGGCAGAGCCTATGGGGTCTGGTCTTTTCATCTCATAGCGGGCAAAGATGTTCAACTCCTCTACCAACGAGGCATCAGCATTGACAGTGTTCCTCATGTTGCCCTTATAGTTAGTTAGGTGCTGCAGTCCCTGTCACACTTGCTTCAGGTTGTTATCTGCTAGGTGGTTCTCTACCTTATATTTGTATTGTTGTTTTGTATTGTTTTCTGCTAAGCGGTTCTCTACCTTATATTTGTATTATTGTCTTAAGGCCTCTTTCTAAAGTTTGACCTGGCCTTTCTCTCTATATCCCTGTACCCTGCATTAAAGACAGAATCCTGGGCTCTCAGAAGTGTCCATACCTCGACAGTCATCCAGGGTTTACAATTCCCAGTCTCTGATGCACTTGTCCATTGTTACGCTGTCAGTCCACACTTTGATGTAAGAGAGTACGGCATCAGTGTATTCATACAGGTCTTGATGTTCAAATGTACTCCACTCAGTGGTTTCAAAACAGTCCTGCAGCTGATTGAGAGCACCCTCTGGCCAGATTTTAACCATTTTCATGACTGGCTGAGTTCTTTTCCTGAGAGGGACATACTTTGGGCATGACAGAAGTGAAAGATGGTCAGATATACCCAGTTGAGGGCATACTCTATAAGCCTATTTTAGGTTAGAGTACACATGGTCTAAAGCAGTGGTTGCCAACCGGTGGTCCGCAAGAAAATGTTGGTGGTCTGCAGAGAAATGTCACCTCCAGAGCACCCCCCAAAGCAATTAATCCAGGCTGCATGGGAACACAAGGCTGCATCGCCCACATGGTCCGCAGGAACCCTCCCTGCCCAGTCACTCCTTACCTGGCAAACTTGCCTGCTAAGTTGCTATTTTTCCTTTTTTTTTTCTTCCAACCATCAGCTGTTTTGCTGTGCCGGGAGATTTAGATTAGCTAGAAAACCGTTGGATTTCTTGCTTTATAGCTAATCTTCAGATCTTTGGCTCTGCTTTTAAGCAGAGCTGAACCTCCCTTAGGATTGAAGGTTCTATTATTCAGTGCAGACTCAGGTAGCCGATGGCAGAAGCACAGATCTCTCTAAGTGATTCTGTGAGCAACTCAACCTGCCTGCCTGCTTTGCCTGATTTGGGGTAAAAGTTGCTTTTTGTTATAAAAAATTCAGTATTTACATATTTATATTTACATACAAGCCACACCCGCAAAACAGAACTGGTTGTTAAGAAACTCAAATCCCACCCCTCCCTGTGTGTTTGTGTGTGTGTCTATGTGTGTGTGTGAGAGAGGGAGAGGTAGGTTAGATCAGATCTCTCTCCCTCCCACCAATCAGCAAGCCACCTTCAGTCAAAATTCATATTAGTGGTCCGTGGGACTTAAAATTATGAGTTTGGTGGTCCCTGAGGTCCAAAAGGTTGACAACCCCTGGTCTAAAATTTTCTTCCCTCTGGTGGAAAATTGCATGTACTGCATACTTAGGGAAACTGTCTTTAAACAGGCTTGATTGAAGTCCCCAGCCACGACAAGAGCGCCCTCTGATGATTATCAACTTGCCACATGATAAGGTTTTCAGACCTAGTTGGCCAATCAGAAACATGAAAAAAGCTTGCAGATACATCTGTCCCGGGCTTCTTGTGGGATTAAAGGACTTGGCCCAGTGAAACAACTCCTCCTAGCTTTCTATTTATTAAGAAAATGCATCAGTTAATGGCATGCTAGTTTTGTTTAATCCAGCCCTGCAACAAAGCTTAGAATTAGAATTACTTCCAATGCTCACTTAATAACAATGTCACTTGACTTTTTAAATCGCCTCAAAGGTAACTTTCTCTACTACAGAATGTTTTAAGTTTTCTAACCATGTATGCTTGCAAGTTATCATGTTACTCAAACAGGTATGTACTCAACTATTTCTAACCCCTAGTTATGCCCATTTTAGAAATAAGGAAGAGCATAAAAAATGGGAAGCATCCCCTCAGACTGGCCTTCCTTGGGTCTGGCTGGAAGAATACTTCATCTTCCAGATCTTTAAATCTATGAGGGATCATTTGTATTGAGAAGAAAAGGCTCCTTGGTGCATCTTCCTCTTTGGGTCATCAGTGAGTCTTCCTCTGGATTAGTGTTAAGCAGTTTCTATATTTGCCCTTGAATTAACAAGAACTAACATCATCCAGTCCAATTTAAATTTGCCATACAATATTACCGGACAGTATTGCAGGCTAATTCTGCCAACTGCCAAGAATTCAATTCTGACTGCTCAAGGTTGACTCATCCTTCCAAGGTTGGTAATATGAGGATCCAGATTATTGGGGGCAATATGCTGACTCTGTAAACCACTTAGAGAAGAGGCCTGTAAAACACTTGGAAGCAGTATATAAGTGCTATTGCTTTTCACTAAAATAATAAATCTTGAACAATTGCTTGTGCCTAGATCATACCGTTAGGTTGTATCAGACATTGTTATCTCCTCCATTAAAACTCTCAATTCTTTCTGCTGTTTTCTGAAACAAGGTTTATTTAGAAATTGTTGTGGATTCAAAGTTGGAGATAATGAAACAATTAGAGTCTTAAAATACGACTGTATTTTAAATACAACTGTAAAATATATGTTATATTTTTGTACTTCAGTTAACTTTCAGCAAAATTACTTCAAAATGGAATGTGTGTGTATAAATTAAATTGGACAGAAAAAATGATAGCTTCCCCCCCACATCCTTGATAGTCTTATCTAACAGTTTCCCAATGTACTAGATATCTACTATGTTTTTCCACTGTGCACTAACATTTAAAATGCTGTATAATAGCTTTCTTAGAAATACAAATAGGGCCTAAATTTAACCAACTGGTTCTGGTCACTATGAATAGTATGAAATGTTCAGACAGCTGCTCATGGATGTAGCTGCTGATACTGGCCCAGAGGTTTGCCCTGCCTGTATAAGAAAATGATCTATAACTTATTGAATATAATTGATTCTAGGCATGTCCTTATCATAAGTAGATAATTTAGACTGAATCTTTCCAATTCCACATTCAAGTGAGTTGTTTTTAAAGCAATATCTTAATCATCTTGCTTTTATATATTAGCATCAGTTTAATAAGATCGTGTTAACACAATGGAGTGACACATTTTTCTTCTTTTATATTTCAATTAAAGTGTCAAGAAATATATTCAGCACCTGATATAAATGGTAGAAGGATCCTGTATTTAATTCTCAATTGATTTACCTTACTTAAAACTAACACAACCAAAGCTACCTCACTTCAAGCACACTTCAAACTCACTTGTCAGTGATATTAACAAGTTTGAGATATCTGAAAATAAAATCAAAAGTACCATTTGTTTGCAACTTTATAAGCACTCTGAAGAAATACTAAAGTAATTGATTGCTCAAAAGAACAATTCATTCTCTGGAATACAAAACAGAAATAACATTTTTATTACAAAGCTTTTTTTAAAAAAACCCCACCAATTTATGAACTATTTGCTGAGCTGTGTTTTATACTATGTTGATTAAAGATTTCTAATAAAATAACTATTTGATGTAAAAATAATTTCATAACATCAAAATGAAGAGAGGCATGGTAACATCAGCATATTACATACTGAAGACTGGTTCCTGGAAGTTATTCCAAACTTTATATAAATTTTTTGAATCATTCTGGTAAAGATGGAGATGGACGGAGAAAAAAAAATCTATCCTTGAAATTCCAGTACCATAGTGCCAGCAGAAAAAAAAGTCTTGCCATTTATCTAAAAAGATAGCTGGTGGCATGGTTCTAACAGTTGGAACTCAAACCTTTCTATTCCCCAGCTTGATCCCAAGTTATGGTGAATCTAATCAGTAAAGCTATGTTTCCATGTATTGCAAATTGACAAGACAGGAACTCTGAAGGTGGGAGAAAGATTCCCAGCAAAATACTTTTTGCATCCTGCTGGCATCAGCAGGACTTTAGATATAGTGAATCCCATCCCCTCTTTTTGATTCAAATAGCCTTATTAACTATCCTTACCCTGTAATCAAACAGCACAGAGGCTTCTGCAAAAGTGATAATTTAGTTCATTTTAATAGAGGAAGAACAACGCCTTGATTGAATACTTTTGTGAAGACAAACTGCATAAACATGCATTTATTAGAGAAAAATATATAGTAGATTATCTTCCATGTAAGTATGGATTATGCTGGCTTGGAATTTTATTCACAACATATCTGAGGGGCATCAGACTAGAACACATACATTTTCTGAACAGAGGAGCAATTCTCAAATTGCTAAGAATATTATCACACATGCTTAAGCACTATATGTGAAGTGCACCATGTGTATGAATAGTAACAGTTTTAATTTATACTATTAAAACAAGTGATTTAGACAAAGATTTTTTCTCTTTGAAAAACTTGTTTTCAATAAATATTTTTATTTTAACCCAAAGTGTTAGATAGGAAGATGGAAGGTGTGAGGAGGAAAAATGAAACAGAGTAGAAAACAAAAGAGCCCATTAAGATTAAAATAATAAAGACTACACCAAAAAGCAGCTTAAAATAAAGCTTTATAAAAATATTCATTAGATAACTTGTTTTTAGAAAAACAGATTTTCAAACCTGAGGTCACTCCATATATATATATCATATATCTATCATTCATTCACAACAAAATTCTTTTCGATTTATTGGGCTTAGAAGAAATCCATAGCAGTTGGTCTCTTCTTAGCTGGAATTACAAGAGACTTCTTTAATTGAGGGGTTTCCATCAAAGAGCCAGAGGAGGACTTTAGGACTCCATGGGGTGGTTTTTGCTTAGGATTGAAAGCTACTCGGGAGACTCCCTCTGGACTGACTAAGATACTTTTGTCTGTCTTCTTAAATTCTGTAAACCAAAAGATAAGAAAGAAAAACATTACATGTTCTGTGTTACCTTGTTACTAGGCATGTAAAGTACTAATGTGTAAGTGAAGGGAGAAAAACTACATCCTTCTAATATTTTTTTTTATAAGCAAAAGATCCTCAGAATGCAGACATTGTTTAATTTTTAAACCAATTTATTTTTCACATGCTACTTAGATGGGGACCTCAGCAGAGCAAAATATGCTTTTATGCTTCTAGCAAAATACATGCATCACTGCCATTTTAACAACATCAATGCTTATGTAATAATTCAAATGAAGTTAAGTCTTTGGCCAGAAAAAACTCTAACATTTAGTTTATTGCACAAATGATATGATAACACAGGCCTTTCAAAGCAAGAAAGAAAATATCTTACCAGTTGTCATATTCTTATTCAATCCAAAGGTAACCTTTTTGTAGCTGGAAGATTGCAGCTTGCTTAACTAAAAGACAAATATAGTTGTTTTCCTGGGCTAATTAAATCTTTATTGCCTAAAGTATTTTTTAACATCCTTATTAGAATATTGAACCAAATCATATGTAATAGTTAGAAAGCATCAGCCAACATACACCATCATCCAATTTGCCAATGTCCTGCAAGTGGCCAGATGGCCCACAGATAAGTTTGCAAAAGTCATTCTAAAAGCAGTAAGTTTGTAGAATTGCATAGTTAGTCTCAGAACTGAGACTAAACAAGCAATCTTTAGAGAACAAGGGCACCAACGCAGTGATATATCACATTGAAAAATGCCATTGTTTAAAAGGGACTCAAACTGTTATTCTAAACATTCTCAAGATATAAACTATAGAAACATTATCATACCGGCATGGCAGTAATGCTTCTTTTAGCTTTTCTAAAGAAGGCTGGCTTTGGTAAAGCTGTCTTTGCAAACTTCACAAAATCATTCTCCACCTTTTCCTTTGTTTTCTTTATTGGTAGGCCAATACCAACAGTTTCCTGCAAGAAGAAAAAGAACAGAAAGTATGCATAATATAAATAGCACATACGTTCATCTATTAAAAATTCTTCCATCCCCCCACCTCCCTCCTTTATTTTTATATGGACACATTAAATCCAATTGAGAGATTTATAAATCCATTGATAGCTACCTGAATGCCTTTCCATGGGAACCAGACCTAAGAAATAACATGCATAGTCTGTTTCAGGGAAGTTAAAGAATAAAAGATAAATATTTTGAAAAGAGCAAAATGATGTTCTTTTCCCAAAAAAATGATTTAGGATTTCCAAATAAAATGTTTTTTTACATTTAAGGAAATGCAAAATTTGTTCAATTTAAAATGGGTTTTTTTTTCTTTGTTTCTCCAACTGTTCACATTTGCTTAACAGATGAAAGGCTTAAATATAGCCCTGATAAGGAAATTATTATAAAAATAAATCAGAGGGTGTACACATACATTCTCAATATCCCTAAATGTTTGGTCTTCCTTTAGCCTTTTATAACAATTTTCTTTTCAGTTAGCCAATTAATTAGCACAAGGATGTAGAATTTTAAATTAAAATTAACTTGTGAAATTACAGCATTAAATTGATGCTATTTTATCACCAACCAATTGCACTAGAGTAAGAATGCTTTTTTCCATTTCAGAAAATGGATTAAAAAATTTAGAAAATGATTTAATTTGAAAAATTCAACAGTGTAGATCCACCTACTTCGTTCTTCCTCTTCTTGTTTTCAAGTTCATTTCTTTCTATGGAATTTGGGCCTTTCTTGCTTTTTCTTTGCATTTTCAAGTCAATTGCTTTCTGTTTGGAACATATAGTCCTCCCCAAATTCCCCAACATTTTTTTTCTCTTCAACTTGACTTTATGAAGCACAATAGGTTCTGACTCTACAAGGCATTTCTTCTCTGGCAGATTAACACTTTCTTCAGACAAAAGCTTTCCAGTGATTCCTGGCTTTGATTTCATAATTTTACCAGTGTGGCGTCCTGTAGTACGATAATTAGGGTCCTCTTCATTGTCATAATTCTGTCCATTCTGACACATAATTTTTCTAGGAACTTTTGGTAGGCTCCCATTTTTGTGTGGAGAAGGCTTCTTTATGCCATTGGCTAAACATGTCAATGACTTCAAAGAAGAATCATCACCAAGTCCTTCAATGGGAATGACTGAAGCAACTTCATTGTTCTCTGCACTTGAAGATTTCTGCCATTTCCTGATATCTGAGGATTCGTTGGCTCGATCTGGTGTCTTGGATTCAACACTAACTGGTCTATTCTCATTATTTCTAGTTGGCATGCAAGTATCAGCTCTCCGACTGGATTTTCTCCTCTTCCTTTTTTTTTGTAGCCCTCTGTTGGCCTCTTCTTCCTCATCACCATTCTTTTGGGTTTGATTGTTGTCTGTCAAGAAAAATTAAGTGATATTAGTTGAATAGCATCTCTAGTTGTAAGAGTTGTAAGACAACTCTATAATAATACCAGCAGCCCAAATTAGCAGATTATATGAAATTGTGTGTTTTATGCATAATGCTGAACCATAATATAATTATATCTGGACTGGGTGAGTACCTAATTCATGGATGGAGGCTTAAATTACTCTCATACCGAAAGAAGAATCTGATTTGCAACAGATAAAAAACTAGAGACTGATATCTTTATTGAATGCAGATTATAAAATATTCGCTTCAATAATGGCAGAAAGGCTAAAGAGATTCTTAAATCAATTCATACATGCTGATCAAAATGGTTTCTTGCCCAAGAGACAAATCTAAGACAATATGAGGACAATTTTGAACACATTGGAATACTATGAAGCACACCCAGAAAAACAGACAGCACTGATATTCTTAGACGCACAGAAGGCGTTTGACAACATGAACTGGCAATTCATGTTGGTACAAATGCAAGAAATGGGTTTTGGGGAGAGGTTTATCAAAATGATTAAAGCAATATACTACAAACAGCAAAAATAATGGTAAATGGTGCTATGTCTGGGAAAATTAATATTAAGAAAGGAACAAGATTGTTATTTGTATTGACATTGGAAGTGTTAAACAGAAATATTAGAAAAGATAAGGAAATAAAGGGTATGGAGATAAAAAAGGAAGAGTATAAATTGCAGGCATTTGCAGATGATCTGGTTTTCATATTAGAAGAACCATTAGAAACAGGACCTAAACTGATAAAAAGGATAGAAGAATATGGAGAAGTTGTGGGACTGAAAATAAATAAGGAAAAAACTAAGATCTTAGTGAAAAATGTTACAGAAAAGCAAAATAGAGAATTAATGGATCACAAAGAAAGCGAAATATTTGGGGATTCAACTAACACCAAGATGTGGGATGATTAAAGAAGATTATTATTATAAATTAAAACAACAGATTAAGATAGACCTGGAAAAAATGGAAAAATGTGCAACTATCACTAATAGGGATAAAATGAATATATTATCAAGAGTATTATACTTGTTTCAAACAATTTCAATTTTAGGGATAAAATGAATATATTATCAAGAATATTATACTTGTTTCAAACAATTTCAATAAAATTGGAGAACAAATATTTTGATGATTTAAACAAAATAATATTAAAATATATATGACAAGGGAAAAAAAGCAAGGATTAAATTAAAATTGTTACAGGATGCAAGAACCAGAGGAGGGTTTGGGATACTCAATTGGGAATTATATTACCAAACTGTGGTATTGATGTGGATGAAAGAATGGATTGTGTTCAGGAATACAAGGCTATTGACACTGGAGGTGCACTATTTGCAATTGGGCTGGCACACATTTTTATGATATGGGAAAAATAACATACACGGCTACTTTCAAAGACACTATGTAAGAAATGCTTTATTGTCAATATGGGAGAAAACAAGGGAACAACATTATTTGAAGATTCCAGTCCGATTATCCATGATGGAAATGTTTATATACCCAATATTCTTAAAATGGGAAATATTGTTAAATATAAAGTTGTTTTAAATGAAAAGGGTGAACTCAAAACAAGAACTGAATGAATGAGGGATTGATATGAATTGGTACTCATACATGCAAATACATTCTAGATATGAAAAAGCTATTAAAGCGGAGGGTTTTATAATGAATTGACGGAATTAGATAAAATCCTAATAGGAACAGAAGAAAAGATTAAGCAATTGTATATTTATTAGGTGTGAAATTAGAAGAAGAACAAGGAGAACGAGGAGACTTTGAAAGTGTTGAATAAAATATTAGAGATGATAAAAGCATAAAAAGAATGAAAACTAAAAAGGAAGAATTTAAACTGCAAGCTTTTGTGGATGATTTAGCCTTTATTTTGGAAGACCCTTTAGAAACAGCTCCAAAACTATTGGAAAAGATAGAGGCATATGGTGAGGTGGCTGGTCTGAAAAAAAATAAAGATAAAACAAAGATTTTGACAAAGAATATGTTACTAAGACAAAGAGAAGAACTGGCAGACCTATTGAAAATTCAAGTCATGAACAAGGTTAAGTATTTGGGGATATATTTGACATCAAGATGTAGTACGTTAAAAGAGAATAATTATATTAAACTTAAACAACAGATAGCCTTAGATTTGAAGAAATGGGAAAATCTACAATTGTCATTAATAGGGAGAATCTCAACAATCAAGATGAATATCTTACCCAGAATCTTATATTTGTTTCAAACAATACCAATTAGGCTCGGAAAAGGCATGGTTGGCATGCCTTTTTATGGTATAAGGGAACTAAAACACAGGGTTATTTTAGAAGACATCATATACGGAATCTTTGTGGTTAAATTGGGAGAAGATCAAAAGACAATGTTATTTGAAAATTCCAGTTTGGTTATCAACCATTGAAGCATTTTCCTACCCTATAATTTATAAGAAGCAACAAACAGTTAGATATGGGGAAATACTGGATGAAAAGGGTGAACTTAAATTGATGCAAAATTTAGAGGAACAAGGTATAAAGATGAATTGGTTTCCATATGTGCAAATACACTCAAGGTATGATGAAGATTCTAAAGCAGAGGGATTTTATGATAAACTGACTGATCTAGATAAGATTTTGACAGGTACTGATGAAAAGGTGATTAAAAAATTATACGGTTATTTACTGGGAATTAAACTAGAGGAAGAACAAGTTAAAGAAACTATGATTGCTTGGGGGAAGAATTTTGGATATGGGATTGATTTAGAGAAATGGCAAAAATTGTGGTCTCAAAATTATAAAATGACAATGTCAATAGCTTATAAAGAAAATTTGTATAAGATGTTTTACAGGTGGCACTTTTCCCCGACAAGAATAGCAAGAATGTTCAAGAATAAATCTGAAAAATGCTGGAAATGTCATCAGATACCCGGCTCATATTACCATATGTGGTGGACTTGTGAGGACGCTAGGAAATACTGGACTAAAATTCGCATGTGGTTGGAAAAAATGATAAAGAAACACATAGATTTGAAACCAGAGATCTTTCTATTGGGAATCTTACCTGATACATACAGTAAAGACTTGAAATATCTGATTGTAAATGTATTAACAGCGGCTAGGATTGTATTTGCTAAAAATTGGAAAAATGAAAAAATACCATTGCAGGAAGAAATTATTAAGAAAATATTGGAATGTGCTGAAATGAGTAGATTGACATTTGAAATTAGAGAACAAGAGGATAAACAATTCTATAAAATTTGGGACCTTTTCTATCAATGGTTGGATGATAAAATACAATAATAGAATATTTAGAATTTTAGATAATAATTAATATATAAAAAGATATTTTTTCTTTTCTTTGTTATTGATATCATATCTATAAAATGTTTTCAGGGTAGATTTGGTATGACTATATGATTTGTTATAAAATAAACTAAGTAAATTATAGTTATCTCGTAAAGTATGAATGAATAAAATTATAGTCAAATGATTGTTTAATAGTGATATTAGGATATATAATTTTTGATTGATAATATGAGTTATTATGTAATATAACTGTAATTGAGACTACGAAATGAATGCACAAAAACTGGTAAACCAACCGACACACTGTTTGTATATTTATGAAAGAAAGCTGGATGTTTTTATGTTTTATTTGTTTTGTTTGTTTTGAAAAATTAATAAAATTGTTTTCAAAAAAAAAAAAGAAAATCTGTATAAGATGTTTTATAGATGGCACTTTGCGCCAGCAAAGATGTTCAAAGATAAATCAGCTAAATGCTGGAAATGCTACCAGACACCACCCATATTTGGTGGACATGTACAGAAGCTAAAAGATATTGGACAAAAATACACACATGGTTGGAAAAGATGATAAAACAACACATAGATTGGAAACCTGAGATATTTTTCTTGTGGATTTTACCTGAAAACTATAGTATAGAAAAAACATATTTAATCATACATATATTAACAGCAGCTGGAATTGTATTTGCTCAAAATTGGAAAAAGGAAAAGATTTCGATAAGAGGAAGAGGTGATTATGAAAATATTAGAATGTGCAAAAATGAACAAATTAACATTGGCAATTAAAAACAAGAAGAAATGGAATATTATAAGATATGGGATTTACTTTATACATGGTTGGAAAATAAAGAAAGAAGGTCAATGATTATAAGGCTTAATGTGGTATTAAGATTACTACAATGATAAGATAAATAAGGATGAGTAGTTTTTAATATGAATGTAACTACTGATATAGTAAGAGGCATATATTTAATATAAATATGTGCACAAGATATATGTACTCAGTCGACACAGTTTAATTGAAAGATGGATATGTTGTAAAATAAAATATATATATATTTTAAAAAGATTAATTTTGGGTTTAGTGTAGTTAGCAGACCCACTGATTGTGCCTTAGTGCTACCGTGTTTCCCCCCAAATAAGACCAGGTCTTATATCTGTTTTGGACCAAAAGACCCATCAGATGTTATTTTTGTGGGATGTTTTATTTTGCGGCCAACCACCTGCTCCCTCCCACCATCTGCTTGCCCACAGCCGCAACAGCTTACAGCAGGGGTGTCAAATTCAATTTCATTGAGGGTTGCATCAGGGTTGTGTTTGACCTCGGAAGCCAGGGTGCACGTGGCCAAGGTGAGCATGGCCAGCTTGACATCACTCTTGTCAGGGCCACCTCTGGTGGCCTGAGTGCTCTGCCAGCGAAAACAGGCTCCCGATCTAAGTTTTTGGCTGCAACAGCTTCCTGTAGCCTCTGTCCTTGAAAACAGACCTTGGGTGGGCTGCCTGTGCCCCCTCCATGCCCTGCTTTCACCTGTGATGGCCTCCAGCAGCCCTCTGCCAGTGAAAACGGAGCTCAGTGCAGCCCTCCCAAGCTCTGCTTTCGCTGGCAGAGGCACCGCGGGCCAGTCCTTCACTGTTTCTAGGGCAGCCCTGTGGGACCAGACCTAAGCACCCCATGGGCCACAAATTGCTCCATTCCCAAGACCCCCATAGGCACCAAAACACTTTTCACCCAGAGCGAGACAAACTTTCATCTCCTTGCAAATGGGACACTTTTACAATTAGTACCGTTTCAAAGTGCCCCATTTGCAAGCAGAACAAAGCTTCATCTCCCTCTGGGCAAAAAGTGCCCGGAGGAGCCACAGGCAGTGGGTGCGGGGGGGGTGGAGGCAATCCCAACACACCATCCACTCTGTCTAACTGTCTCTTGGCTTACCTCGGGCAGCACAGGGCAGGCGCCCGCACGGGGCATCAGAATCACCTGCCTCCCCACTCCCCTGTGCCTCTGCCTCCACACCTGCTGCCAGTGTCACTGTGCAAGCCTCCTTTGAGCTTGGCAACTGCTCAGCATATCCGCATCGTCTGTCTCCCACTCAGCCTGCACCTTTGGACTTATCTAAACTGCACCAAGGGGATGGTGGGCTATGGCTGCTCCCCCCATGCATTCACCACCTCTTGTGCTGGCCACACCCACACTCCCTTGGGCTTATTTTTGGGGTAGGTCTTACATTAGTCCCACCTCCCAAAACCAGGCTCTTATTTTGGGGGTTAATCTTATTTTTGGGGAAAATACAGTATGTACAAACTATGACTTCTATAGCTGATTCAACCAATTATAATTAAAAATGTTTACTGTGATCAAGAAACAAACAGATTTTTTTTCCTTACCTTTTTTCTCCAATTGAACTTTATCTAAGGGTTTCCCAGATTTTCTTTTCAATTTCTTCCTGCTGAAGGTATCATCATCCTCATCTGTAGAGACATCTTCGGGGAAATCATTTTGAGGGAAACTGCCTGAAAAGGACATCAGAATAAGAACTGCCACAAGCCAAAGATTCTTGGAAAGATTCTTCGCTCATATTAACATCCATGCTTTTTTAAAACTCATGCATGTATGCTATCATGAATATTTTATAGTAAATAAAACATTTACTTGAAGGAACAAAATTGAAATCAGTGGTGGTAATCAGGGCCCCAGGCTTAATTGCAAAGAGCCTTAAATCAGTTAAGAATGCTGGAACAGTTTACAGTTGTTGTAAAATTTAAACAATATTAACATTTTAGAAATCGTTGATAACAGGCATAAACTGTCAAAGATAAAGAAAACAATAAGTATAAGTTATCTAAGTAATCAGAATGTTAATGGTCCGCAGTCAACACTATATAAATGTATCTGCACCCAAGTAATATATTATATTACAATAAAACAACATGCCAGTTATTTTCATCTTACAGAAGCCTAATAGTAAGGAAAAGTGGAGGGAAAAGGGGCTGGCCTCACATGTTTTTGGCACCGACTCCAGCAACTGTAATGACTATGTGGCTTTCCATGAAGGGGAGAAAAAGTTCTAATTCCAGCTGTAAAGAGTACTGTAATCTGATTTAGGTGATAATGTAAGTCCAGTTCAGGTACCAGCATATTGCCTGAGCCTGAAAGAAGCTAGGAAAGATCAGACTTGGTTTGTGCATGATTAGGAGACCACCAGGAAATCCTAGAGTTCTCTGAGAATTCCCAAATTATCTCAGAAAATGAAATGGCAAATACTTCCTTATTGTTCCCAAGATCACTATATGGACATGACCACAAAGCCATCAGTATTAGAAAACAACTCAATGCACTTTACTTTCCCTTTCCCTTAAGCACTGATGTTGAAAATCATGATTATTCCTTCAAAGGATAATACATAAAACTCTAGTGTATATTTTCTATTCATGCTATGCTTTGCCAAAGGCTTGAAAAAATGATGAAGTCTTACCTTCTGCAAGATCTTGAAATCTGGAAAGAGAAGTGAAAAGAAATTATATTGTTTTACTCATTTTCCATAACAGAAAGTACCAGATTTATTGGTGTGGAAAAATGAAGGACTTAAGGAATTTCAGGAAACATACTTTTTAATCAATTTGTAGAGGCGCTTTCTGTTAAAAGCAGGTGTGTTTTTTCTGCTGCTCAACTCAAAGATTGTGCTGGCAATTGCTGCATAATCAAACTGTCAAAAAAAGAAAGCAACTTAGATCAATTTTAAAAATAATTTCATTCGAAAATGCTAAAATGTTAGTATCATAACACCATTCTTTCCTTTTTCTATTTACCATCAAAATATTTACTTTTTCTCACCAGCCTAAATCCACGCAAATTCCTACTAGGTCCCTTCATCACAGCCTGATGAACAATTAAGTATCCACTTTAACAAAATCACAGTAAGACATTCAGGAAGACTTGGGACCATCACTGTTTATGAGTCAATACATGCTGAATTGCTCAAATGGCATCTGATGTTCCTCAGAACTTGAAGTACATACACCTTAGAGATGCCACCCCCCCCCAATATTGCACGGGGGGGGGGGGATTGATAGCTTGATTTAATTTTCAGCTATTGAAAATAAAGTAGCCAGTGCAATTTATCAGTTTTAAATCAGAAGTTTTCAAACCCTGCATCAGCCTTCCCCAATCTGGTCCCACAATTCCCATAATTTTAGTAACCAGAGTTCTAAAACTAGTAATTTAATAAAGGTGGAGCCTACCTGAAGAACAGGTCCAATGTTAGCTTCTATATCTTCTGAAATATTACCATGTGTCTCTGAATTTGGAGACAGTTTGTTTGACAAGCCCCTGCCTATGTTATAAAGAAAAACCAAAAATGAAGTGTCAGAGATCAAACGGATGGTCCTATCCACTTCACTCTCCTCTTTGCTTCATTCCTGATCAACATGGGAAAATATTTCCTGCCTTCATTTAGCCAATAAAGCTTAGTATCTCCAAGAAAATGATTGCATAATTTATCTTGTGAAGTCCTGTCATTTGTCACTGTATGACCAAATCTGTTATAGCAGCAGTCGTCAACCGGTGGGCTGTGAGAAAATTTTGGTGGGCCGCAGAGAAATCTCACCCCCAGAGCACTCCCCCAAAGCAATTAATCCAGGCTGTGCAGAAACACAAGGCTGTGCAGCCCACATGGCCCGCGGGAACCCTCCCCACCCACTCACTCCTTACCCGGCAAACTTGCCTGCTAAATTGCTATTTTTCCTTTTTCTGACCATCATCTGTTCTGCCGTGCCGGGAGATTTAGATTAGCTAGGAAGCAGGAAATGGTTGGATTTCTTGCTTTCTAGCTAGTCTTTTGATCTTCGGCTTAGCACAGCTGAACCTTCCTTAGGACTAAAGGTTTGCTTGCAAGCAAATTCAGTGCAGATTCACGGCAAGCAAATTTGAGAGACTGAGCTAGCCGATGGCAGATAGATAGATCACTGAATGATTCTGTGAGCAACTCAATCTGCCTGCCTGCTTTGCCTGATTTTGGGCAAAAGTTGCTTTTTTTAAAATAAAAAATTCAATATTTACATACATGATGTGTTGTGAGTTAATTTTGTGAGTTTGCTTGCTAGCAAATTTTATGAGTTTGCTTGCAAGCATATTTTATGTGACAGACTGAGCTAGCCAATGGCAGATAGATAGATCTCTGAATGAATCTGTGATTCTGTGAGCAACTCAATCTGCCTGCCTGTTTTGCTGGATTTTGGGTAAAAGTTGCTCTTTTTTTAAATAAAAAATTCAATATTTATATAAATATTTATAATTTATAATATTTATATAAATAAATATTGAAAAATAAATATTTATATAATAAATATTATATAATAAATATCTAATAATAAATATTTATATAATATATAATATTTATAAATCTGCTTGCCCTGGCACGAAGCCAAAAGCACCAGCCTGAGGATGGCGAGTGGGACCTCGCCAAAACGTCGCCAAGATACTCTTAATCTTACCCGGGAAAAGACCCGAAAACACCTAGACCTACAAATATTTATAATATTTACATACAAGCCATGCCCAATCAGTCACATGACCACACCCACAAATTAGGCCACACCCACAGAATCGGTTAGTGGTCCCTGGGATTTAAAATTATGAGATTGGTGGTCCCTGAGGTCCAAAAGGTTGGTGACCCCTGTGTTACAGGACCTTTAGAGAGCATTTGAATGTGTAATATGAGGAAATAAGGGGAAGTCCTGATATATGAGAAGAAAACCTCTCCTTTAACACTGAACACAGCCTACCTATAAGTAATGTTTTCAGCAGAGAAGGTATATCTGAAATCATTTAGGAGCTGGAGGAAATAAAAGAGAACACAGCCTTTTATAAATACTGGACAGAGGCTTGTTAGAAGACAAAGCAAAACTTTAAATTCTGCTTAGAAAACAAGTGTCAGGAAATATCTCTTTAGATATTTCCAGGAAATGGAAATCTCTAATTTCCATTTCCTTCTAAATGAACTGTATTCACAGAAGCTTATGTGCTAAAAGAAAGTTCTGTGAAGAAAACACTGGAAGATATTTTTCTAGAATTTTCCAAAGGAAGTGTCAGGGAAATGAGTCTTACCTCTGGCCATTTCTGTATCTTCTCTGTCAGTCCATTTTTCATCTTCTGAGGTACTGTCAACATCACTGCCAGTTTCTAGTTCTTTCATTAAATCTTCTATGGCAAATGGGGACTGATCCACAATGGTTTCAAAGATGCCACAGATTATGGCTTGCAGCATAAGATGACTGAACAGCGAAAAGATTGTGGGGGGGAGGAGGAGAATATATTTAGGGAATGTGGTTAATAGAACTTCTTTGTAACCTAACTCGTAAACAAGTTCTGAGTCATTCAGAAAATAAGAAAGGAAAAACAGACAATCACATGATTATAATTCTCTAATTTTCTGAGGTATGCAGCAGGATCAAGAACATTCATTTCTATAATGGCTACATAGAAATGTTGTTGCTATAGTTACACATACTTTTACTTCCAGGCATGTTTAAAAAATATTTCTCTCATAGTCAACATGTTGCTATCCTTCACAGTAACTTTTCCTTTGTTCTGCACTCCCATTCAGATTTTTATTTACTATTTTTAAAACAGTATATTAATATAAATATTGTCAAGAATTGAACATACTCCTTGGTCCTGGCAATAATTTTGCAGAATGGTTCAATAAACTTAATGTTCTGGTCTGCTGTGAGCTGTAAAGATAAAAATATACATTTTAAATATTGTTATGTATAAGTTGATGACTCTTGAAATTTAAATTAAAATATTGTATAACATTATAGTCATAGAAAACAGGGCATTGTCATATTTTGATAAACACCTTTTGCTGACAAGGTTTGTTTGGTGAAGCCCATGGATTTGTATTTTTTGACTTAAAAGATAAACAATAGGAAAAGAGAAATTATGTTAGATTTAGAGAGGGTGACAAGCAATTAAAAATGATTTTTTACATACTGGGATTAATGGGTAAAGTTAACTTTTTAACATTTATTCCCTTTTGTACTTTCTGTTTGTACTCTTATTTGCTTTTATTCCTTTCATATATATAAAACTAATTGGAAACCAGGGCACTGTTCACAAAATAAAATAAACTGAGTTTTAGAGCATTACACAGTAAAAACTTGACACCAGTGATTTTAATACATTTTATAAAGAAGTAAAGTGTAATGATCTTCCCCTAACCTGATGCTTTACAGGTGAGGGGCCAGCATGGAGAAGCCTAAATGTCACAAAATTTGCTACTGACCTCTTTAGCTCCAACTTTAGCCAGTTCTTCCAGATAGATATCAATGAAATGCAATTTAATACCAATGGGAGCATGGCTATCTGGATGCATAACTTCCATTATTAACATATTCAGAAATCGTTCAATTAAACTGGAAATAAATGTAAAAATAATATTAGCGGCATAGGCTATTCAGTTACATTACATCATAAAATCTTTTGTCAGGTCCAAAAAGTGCTCGCCTAAATACATTTGGCAAAGCATGGACCAAATGGTTTCATCTCCACATAATGTGGGAACAAAAAAACAGAAGTGCACACTGAAACAGGGTCCAAATCTCTCACCAGTATACACTTTTAAAAAAATAGTTAGCTGAGATCTTATTACTTCATTTTAAAAGGCGATCCCACATCTTGTATCACAATTTCACTGAATAGGATTTGTATCATAATTAAAATTAAAGAGCTACTGTATTTTATAAACATATGCAGGTGTACATTTTAATGGTACAATTAATGCAACTTCCCAGCTTGGTTTCAATTTTGTGCCTTCTTTGATATAGAGTAATGGGAGGAGTTATATATAGTTGTCTTTGACTTATGACCACAATTCAGCCCCAAATTATGATGTCATAGTGGTTGCCCATATGACACTCCTCCCTCCCTCAACAATTGAAATCTCAGCTCTTTCCACTGTGGTCATTAAGTGAAGTACAGGGAACCTCAGGGTGGGGGAGGCCCTGGCAAACCTGGTGCAGGCCTTCATTCTGTTTCAGGACCAGGCCCCCAGAAATGGCATTTCACCAATTCACGTATGGCCTGTGCTCCCACGGCATCCCCCACCCAAGGTCTTCTTTGCAAAGCTTTTCACCTGTCTAGATCCCCATAGAACCTGGGTCTGCTTCCCACCTGGCTGGGTCCTCACAGGCTTCAGGCCCACTTCCCATGTTTCTGGGTCACATAGCTTTAGGCCTCTTCACTGCTCCATCATACTTTCCTCCACTTACCTTTTTGAAGTACATCTTTCCAAAAGAGTGCCCAGCTGGTGTGATATGCAGCCTTCCTGCAGAGGCTGTCTTGTGTCATTCTGGAGATGGATACCAATGTGGAAAATTGCACCCTTCTGAGAGATTACACAAATGGTACCCACTTCCAGGATGGCAGCACTTCCCCAGTTCACACGTGGTTCCTGGAAACTGTTGCACTGGTTGGGCTATCTTTTGGAAAGACAATCATTGGAAGAGGTAAGTGTAGATAGACATGACAAGGCAGGGAGAAGGACCAAGGCAATGGGCAGAAAATAGGCCCAAAGCCTGTGGGGACTTAGCTGGGTGGGAAGCAGCCCCAAGGCACCCAGAAGGGGAGGATGAGGGGAAAGACAGCTGATAGGGACAGTTGCACTGTCCTTGTGGTCAGTTGTAAGAGCAAGAAGATTGTCATGCTGTCAAATTTTCATCAGGTGACTATGAGGGAACTGTGGTGGTCATAACTTTGAGTATATGTTGTATGTCTCTTCATTTAGCACCACTGCAATTTTGAATGGTCACTGAATGATCGTAAGTCGAGGACTACCTGAAGATCAGATGATATTAAATCAATGAGCAGATGACTGATGTTCATTAGAACACTAAGTTACAAGAAATGTCATGTCGACATCATTTTTAATAGATGAAATGCTATGTTTGGTAGTTAAGCAAGTAAATATTGATCTCACAGAACTCAATGAATGTACCTATCATGCTAAGCCATGATCTGATTTACAAAACTAGGTGCACCATAAAACATGATTTACAAACACGATGGGGAGGTATTTATAATGATAAAATCAAAAGGTCATAAGACTGACACACTATACAAACAACACACTATACAAACAACAGATATGGCCTACCTTGCATTCCATTCATTTCTTTTCAGAACTTCAAAGGACTGCCTCAGCATCATGCGGATCAACTAGGTTAGGGAAAAAACAAAAAACAAACGATGCACATAATTTTTCCCACCATGTTACTAAGTTTATAGGACAGCACTCAATATATTGAAAGAATTTGAACAACATAGGGATATTCTGTACACAGAACATGGAGGACATGGAGGAGTTGGATGTTTACATGTTATGAGTTTATGCTATGTTAGTTGAATGCATAGTGAATTTCTGTGCATCCACTGTTTCTGAGTAGAATAAAGGTCTTGGTTGTGGGAGTGAGAAAGACGAGCCCAGTGTCTTGTTCATTCACTGAATACAGGACAGTATTTTTACAATGGAAAAGGAGGTACAGGTAGTCCTCACTTAATGGCCACAACGGAGCCCAGACTCTAGGTCATAACTTGTTGCAGTCATTAAGTGGGTCATCATGTGATTTGACTTGTCTTTACAACTGTTTTTATGACAGCCATAAAATCAGCCATCATGGTTTTTAAGTGAACCAAGTGGTCATTAGGCAACCACATGGCTGTTAAACAAATCCATTCCCTCAAATAAGTATTTTTGCCAACTGCTAAATTCACTAATGATATGGAGGTTAAGATATAGCATAGGCTCTAGATAGCATGTCTTATAACACTTCTATTTCCTAATTACAATTAAAATCTATCTATTAAACTGACTAGGACCATTTTCTCAAATCAGGTACCTTCCAGATACGTTCCTATTATCTCCAGAGCAGTCATATGAACATTATGGATCAAATTAAGCATTTGCTTAGGAAATAACAATAGAATTCCCATTACCATGACTTTGGCAAATAACTTGTTATTTACAAAACAATAGGCCTTAGTCTCAGGCAAGGAGCACATGGAGTTTGCAAGTGCTGAGAGTAGGCACTGGAGAGTACAGATGGGCTAACAAGAGCCATAGACAGGTACTAGGGAACAAGAGTGAGCTGGCAGAAGGTGTGCGCATGCTAGAGAGTATAAAGTCCTTGAACTCTCATAAATCTCAAAAACGTGGGATAAAAACTGGCAGAAGCAACTTATGATCTTCACTGCCTGCTTTCTTACTGAATTTTTTTGTGGGAAGTTATAGGTAAGGTCAAAAAAGGCAATTGTTATGGTAGCTTGCTGCAATGTCATAATCTTGAGTCAGGTGCCTGAGCACCCAGATTGTGACGTTGGGGACACCACAATAACCATCATGGTGTGGATGGTTGTAAGTCCCCCTCATTTGGTACCATTGTAATAATGGTCACTGAATTAGCTATCATAACTCCAGGTCTACCTGTAATGGTTCAAATAACTCATATCTCTTGTTGCATCTGAACAAGCATTTAAGAACTAGGAATCCTATTTGAAGAATTACAGGTGAAACTTGAAAAATTAGAATATCGTGCAAAAGTTCATTTATTTCAGTAATGCAACTTAAAAGATGAATATATGAGATAGACTCATTACATGCAAAGCAAGGTAGTTCAAGCTGCGATGTGTCATAATTGAGATGATTATGGCTTACAGCTCATGAAACCCCCAAATCCACAATCTCAAAAAATTAGAATATTGTGAAAAGGTTCAATAGTCTAGGCTCAAAGTGTCCCACTCTAATCAGCTAATTAAGCCATAACACCTGCAAAGGGTTCCTGAGCCTTTAAATGGTCTCTCAGTAGGAAGCACAATCATGGGAAAGATTGCTGACCTGACAGTTGTGCAGAAAACCATCACTGACACCCTCCAAAGGAGGGAAAGCCTCAAAAGGTAATTGCAAAAGAAGCTGGATGTTCCCAAAGTGCTGTATCAAAGCACATTAATAGAAAGTTATGTGGAAAGGAAAAGTATGGAAGAAAAAGGTGCACAAGCAGCAGGGATGACTGCAGCCTGGAGAGGATTGTCAGGAAAAGACCATTCAAAAGTGTTGGGGACTTTCACAAGGAGTGGGCTGAGGCTGGATTCAGTGCATCAAGAGCCACCATACACAGACGGATCCTGGACATGGGCTTCAAATGTCGTATTCCTATTGTCACGCTGCTCCTGAACAACAAATAATGTCAGAAGCGTCTTACCTGGGCTAAAGAAAAACAGAACTGGTCTGTTGCTCAGTGGTCCAAAGGCCTCTTTTCTGATGAGAGCAACTTTTGCATCTCATTTGGAAACCAAGGACCCAGAGTCTGGAGGAAGAATGGAGAAGCACACCCTGCAAGATGCTTGAAGTCCAGTGTGAAGTTTCCACAGTCTGTGTTGATTTGGGGAGCCATGTCATCTGCTGGTGTTGGTCCACTGCACTTCATTAAGTCCAGGGCCAACACAGCCGTCTACCAGATTTTGGAGCACTTCATGCTTCCTTCTGCAGATGAGCTTTATGGGGATACTGACTTCATTTTCCAGCAGGACTTGGCACTTGCCCACACTGCCAAAAGCACCAAAACCTGGTTCAATGACTGTGGGATTACTGTGCTTGATTGGCCTGCAAACTCCTGGCCTGAACCCCATAGAGAATTCTGTGGGGCATTGCCAAGAGAAAGATGAGAGACATGAGACCGAACAATGCAGAAGAGCTGAAGGCCGCTATTGAAGCATCCTGGTCTTCCATAACACCTCAGCAGTGCCACAGGCTGATAGCTTCCATGCCACGCCGCATTGAGGCAGTAATTTCTGCAAAAGGGGCCCAAACCAAGTACTGAGTACATATGCATGCTTATAGTTTTCAGAGGTCCGATATTGTTCTATGTACAATTCTTGTTTTATTAATTGCATGTAATTATTCTAATTTTCTGAGATTGTGGATTTGGGCTTTTCATGAGCTGTAAGCCATAATAATCTCAATTATGACACATCATGGCTTGAACTATCTAGCTTTGTATGTAATGAATCTATCTCATATATTAGTTTCACCTTTTAAGTTGCATTACTGAAATAAATGAACTTTTGCACGATATTCTATTTTTTCGAGTTTCATCTGTATATAGAAATTTTGACTGTATATGCTAAGTTACATAATTTTTTTCTTTGTTTTGACTAAAATATTAACAATTCAATTGTATAACAGGGCATGAATATTTATTTTTCTATTTTTATATCACAGAATCTACCAAGATTCATAATGTTTATACTCCATTAACATTATGAATGCATTAATATTAATACAAATATTTGGAATACCAACCATAATAAAATCTGAACATAATTTCACTAAAATACTAAAACCCACCAACCAGTTACATTACTCTTATGTGTAGTGTACATTAATTATTCAAGTAAATAAAAGGACTTGAAATGAAATCTGGATTAAAATGACATGTGCTATGATTTGGAAGCTCTTTTCAAACAAATTTTTTATTTTTGCTTTTTATAAGAATATAAACACATGGCATTAGCACATTTAAATGAGAAAATGCATTTTAAATTGATGTTAATTTGTTTTATTACCAATCTTATTTTTGAAAGTGATTTTTTTTTTTGTGGAACAATATATCCCTGGATATATTGGAGGCTTTAAGAAAAGACTGGACAGCCACCTATCTGAAGTGGTACGGGGTCTTCTCCTTGAGCAGGATTAGAAGACCTCTAAGGTCTGATTCTGATTCTACACGTTCTCTTTTTCCCAAGGAGTCTTTCAAAAGGGAAGAAGAATTTAACTTTACCATGTAAAATTTATCTAGACGCAATCGATCTATTCCATTCCATTCACGATTCACAGTTTGCCAGAAAGTCTGAATGAACAAGTGTCCTGTTTTGAGATAATAAATATAATGTTGAAATTACATATTTTCTTCTTCATAAATTTCCAGTCACCTTTCATAAGTGATAGAAAAATTAATCTTTTAAGAATCCCAGCAGCAGACACACCAAAGGAGGTGAAGGGCTGGGTATCTATAGTCTGCTTCCCCCCAACCCCCTCACTTTAACCTTAAACACTGAATTCTCTTAATGCTGATCCATCTGAGCTGAAATCTTGGCATATATAGTGCCAAAGCTGAGAATGGGCAACCTTCCTTTTTTTGTATTCTCTTTTTGTCACCTGTTCTCAGAGAACATTACACCAAAGGCCTGATTACTATACCACCTCCACAGCAGTTAACCAGGCCTCCGTGGGTAGTAAAGTATGGAGAAGTAGAAGAAAGCACAACAGAATCCTCCTACCTATATTTCTCAGCAGTTTGTGTTCGGAGATGCATCATTATAAAGTTATGACTTGCAGCAATTAAAAGTTTTGTCTAAAAATATCTAAGCACTTTTTAAATGCATCCAAATTTGGGGTTTGTTGTTGCTACCTCTTTCTAGACCATTAAGCTATAAAGAATCTAAATATGGTTGCCATTTAATCTTGCACTCTGCTCCAAGAATGGTATGTGTTAGAAATACTGTTGTTGTTTAAGGATTTTGATACATCTCCAGGAAATAAATTTCTGGCTCCATAAACTGATTCTTCCTTGCACTGTGATGCAAAGCCTTGGCTATAAGCTCCTGAACATAAAAGAAATAAAAATGAAGAGACTTACGAGTATCCATATTCTCGATTAAATGGATAAGTTGTGATATATTATTTGACAACTCCTCCTGGAAATTTAGAATTTTGTTTAGTAATAATGTCACACAAGTAGATTCCTATTAGTATAATATTCAGGAAATTCCCCTCTCAGAAAGCTGACCCTGCTATCAGACCTTCCCTAAATATAGAAAACTGACGATGGGTATAAGCACCAATACAATTTGGGCTTAATTAAGCTCTTCTGTCATAGTTTAAATACAAAGACAACCTGACACTGAAGGTCTAGAACATGCAGAGGTTTCCTACCAGTAGATCAAACAACCTCATATATGATCATGAGATTCTTAATTTATACTTCTGTGGAGAAGCATTAAGAGACTGTCTATATTTTAGATTTTAGTATATCAGAATATTAATATACCAGAATGGTTATTTACTTTAAAAACTGGTAATCAGTTAGGACAGAATCAATAAATAATTTATTATACAAATAATTAGAAAACCATCTTTAAAACCAAAACCAAAAATGAATATAATGGCTTAAATTTATGAACCATGTTTTTAATGATTCAACAGCAGAAGGCCTTTCCAAATAGGCACTAGCTATACTAACTAGGATGATAAGAGCTGCTGCGAAAACAAAACTGAAAAATAATAGGTCTGGAAAAGCTGACAAATTTATCATGTCTCAAGAAAAATACTAACTTAAATGTTTTGGCATAAAACATTCTATTTCAGTCCGTGGAAACGAAATGAAAAAGTTTGGACAATAGTCAAAATACCTATTCACTGAGCCCATCAATATTATTGCTGCCTGGAATTCCACAGAGCAGGTGGCATAGAATACAAGTAAATTATTATGAATGGATGAATACATACTTCCCTCACATCTATAGTTACTAACAGATGAGCATATATTATACAGTATCATAATTCTGGATTTAATATATCTGCATTAAGATAGCTGTAAAAATTTGAACAAAGATTTTACAGGTATTCCTTGACTTACAGCCACTGTTTAATAATGGTTTGAATCAACAACAGCTTCCAAAGTCAATTACAATCTAAATCTGAATTTATGACCATCACCCTACCCTTGTAATTATAATTCATGCCCTTGGCAACCAGCTCACATTTATGACCAGGTGCCATGGTCATGTGTCATCTCATCACAATTTTTGACAAGTTTTTGCTGGTTTCTGATACAAAGTGGCAAAAACACCATTAGTTAAACTGGACTTGCACTTACGATTGTGTAACTTGACTTATGACCATCATTAGAATAGTTGAAAAATCCAGCACAGTTACAGGATGATTCTACTTATGACTGCAACAATTTATGGTAGAAAATCTGATCCCAATTTTGGTGGTAAATTGAGGACTACCTCTACAAAGCAATTAAGATTTATTGACTTCTTTTTTCTTCTTGGTTTCTCATAATACAGTATAAAACAGTACCATACAGCACAGCTGTAAAAGTAAATTTTATGACATGTATGTTTAAAAAGAACCTCAGAAATTCTAAATGGGAATAACTAAGAGTAATTACTTTCCATTTATATCTGGAAAGATATAAGAACAAATAAAGCAGGCCACTTGTGTGCAATCTGACCGTTCACATGTCCACAAGATACTGTAACAGAAATAAATATATGTCAGTTACTAAACAGCCAAATTTTGATCACATGACCAGGGCAATGCTGCAATGGTTACAAGAGTTGAAAAACCATTATAAGTCACCTTTTTTCAGTGCCATTGTAACTTTGAACAGTCACTAAACAAATGATTATAAGTTGAAAACTACCTTTTCATTTAGTAAGGAAAAAATATAAGACACATGCTGAATTGAGAACAAGTTATGAGCCAGGAGTGTAAAGCAATCTCTAGAAGCAGTGACACAATTCTGGGATGGATCAGAAGAAATACTGTAGCAAAGATATAATGAATTCCTTATCCCCCTCTACTTTTGAACTGGTAACACTACATCTTAGTAGTATGATTCTAAACATATTTCTAGAAGAACATTGATAGATTACAACAGGTTCAGAGGAAGGCAACAAAAATGATATAGGGCCGTGATGGCAAACCTGTGGCACGTGTACCACAAGTGACACACAGAGCCATTTGTGATGGCATGCAAGTCACAGGCAAACTTACCTCACTGTGCATGTGCACACCTCACAGCTGATTTTTTTCCGTTGGTTTGAGGCCTTTTTCGGCCTCCCAGAGGCTTGGGCCAAATTATAGGCCCGTTTCATCACTTCCTGTAATATTGGAAGTGACAAAACAGGCCTATAATTCATCCTGAAAAGCCTTGCAGAGGCTTTTCCCAAGCTTCTGAGAAGCCGAAAAAGGCCTCAAACCAGCTGAAAAATCAGCTGTCAGGCGCAGTGCAGGTAAGGGGGTGGGGGATTGCACACGCATGCACAGGGGGCATGGGGAGGGGGGGCACACATTGCATTCTGGGTGCTGGCAAGCAAGTGCGTGTGCACTGTTTTTGGCACAGGAACCCAAAAAGGTTAGCCACCATGATATATGGATTTGGTGACCTGCCCTGTGAGGACAGACTGAAAAAACTAGGGATGTTCAGCCTGGAGAAAAGAAAACTATGAGACAGGATATCAGGATTCAGACAGGCAAAAGAGTAAGTTTTCCATTCCACAGAAACTAGGATTGGTAATGGATATATGTTACAGCTCTTTTGTCTAAGTACAGGAGAAATTTTCCTATTAGTAAGATCTGTACTGGATGTATAATGGAGTAATCAATCTATGGAATTGTGGAGTCACTATCTCTTAAGGCTTTCAAAAAGCTGGAGTCATGTCTCATGCAATATTTAACCTTAATTAGCTTTATTATACACCAAAGCTGATTGGACTAGATCAAAGGTTCTTAAATCTTTTTGTGCCATGGATTAGATAAGTTATTTTTTTGTGTGCCCGAGAGTCTGGTGAAATCTTTTTTTGTATAAAAAGTTTATTTTTTAATTATTTGAATACATCTATGAGAGAACCTTGTGGTTCCAGATGCTTTACATTTTAAATCCATCATATCCACAATCGCAAATACAGCTTTCTAACATCACATCATTTTCTATTACCAAATTTTCTTATTTATATTCTCATAAATTTGTATCAGTCTCTTTACTTTTAATCAATCTCTATCTTCCTTAGTGATATATTCTTATGTTCAGCATATTTACCATTTAGTCTATCCATATCAATTCATTAATCATTACAGCTTTCTAACATTACATCATCTATTACCAATTTTTTTTATTTATATTCTCATAAATTGCTTTATATTGCTTTATTTTTAATCACTCTATCTTCCTTGATCTTATATTCAACTTATTTCAGTTTAGTATATTTATATAACTTCATTAATCATTTAAAATTTCATCCCCTTTCCAATATTACCGTATTTCCCCATGTATAAGCACCCCCTTTGTATAAGCCACCCCCCCAATTTTTGGACTGTGAAGTTTTGAAAAAAATATTTTATTAGAGAAACAAGTTATGAAGAAAGAAAATTTACAAAGAAACAAAATTCGACGTCTAGATCTACAACTTCGGTCATGACGCCGAAAGCGGTGCGGGCGACGCTAGCAATCTACGCATCGGAACGAGAGTAGGAACGAAGCATTCAGGCCGATGCCTAGCGTATGCATTTCTATCGCGTACTCGCACTCGTAATCGTATCATCATGTACAATTTTTACAAAAAAGTATAGCATACTGCTGGAAAACCAGTTTATTCCTACTTTATTATTTTATGCATTTTTCACGTATAAAAAGTGTACCTGCTTTGTATATGCCACCCCCCTACTTTTTGGGCTTGAAAATTTTGGAAAAAAGGGGTGGCTTATACATGGGGAAATACGGTACATTTGCCACAGTTGCATATATTAATTTTCTAAATGCTCCCTTCCCTCTAACTCGTCATTTTTGCACAAATATATTTTCCATCTTATTCTTCTAGCCAATAATATCAAAAACATAATGTATCCTCATTGTCTTTTATACAGAACATATATAATTTAATTCATTAAAATATTATCCTATACTACATAATTATATCTATTCTCTATCAGGCTCCACTTAACCTTCCCTTTTCCACCTTAGGTATTAGCCACTTATATCTTCCATAAGCATTTATCTGTCTTACTTAACTAACCTATTATAAAATCCCATTTTCATAACTATTCTATTTTAATTATTCCTTCATATTCTTTCTAATTCTTAGTCCAAACCCCTCAAAATCTATTATATATGTTTTACTACTAAGGTACCTCTTCATGTGGAGTCCCTCATCTCTAAGTCTCTCTTCTGTCTTAGTTTGTTGTTTTTTTGGCTTGCTTACCATTCTCTATCAACTTTTGGCTTTTTTCCTTAATCCTTCTTCCATTCTTCATCATTTTCTGATATTTTTTCTCCCAATTCTCAAGATTTATCCCCACCCTCTTCTGATCTCCTTTCTATAATTTCCAGTCTGATGAAATCTATGAAGATCAATTATGCTCAAATATAATGCTCAAATATTAAAAAGTAATATCACAATACATACATATGAAAATAAAATTGTATTCCCCCCCCCCATACAAATTCATAGACATTGTGAAATCTGTTCATGGATCCTCAAAGGGTTGTGGACCTGCCAGTTAAGAACCCCTGGATTAAATGATCCTTGTGATCCTTTCCAACTCCATATAACATACCTGCAAGAGAGGTTTATCCTGCATCCACATACAGTAAAATAATCCTTTCCATATTTTTAACAATTCTTCTTGGCTGAAGGAACCTATAACACAAAAGTTAATTATTTAAAAAGTAAATTGAAATTTGCCCTGCAACTGCTTAGGTGATGGAAACCCATTTATTAGCGAAGAATTATGTATAATTGAGTGGAATCGTCCATCTGCCAAAAATACACAATTAGCAGAGAACTATGTAGAATTGTGCAATCAAATATCAATTTGTCATATTAGCCGTTAAAATGTAGCAGATATGTCACGCTATTCATATAAACAACATTTTAATGCATCTTTTGCTCCTAACACTTTGGAGATGGTCCTTCCCGCTGGCCTGACACGGATGTTTTGTCCCACGTGCTTCTCCAACCTTACCCTCTAGTCTCTGGGTCCTGAGCGTCATGTAGCCACGTAGCTTTTTTAGCGCCCGATCCCGAATCCGTTTCTCGTTCGAGGCCAACCTCTGAGCAAATTGGATCTCAGGAGGTTGCCCAGCAGAGACGACAGCAGCAGGAGCCATAATCCCCAACAACCACGTCCCTTCTTCCCGAACAAGAGGCGCAGCTACATCGGCCTGAAGCCGCTCCTTGGCGCCCGTGAATGGCGTCACGGACAAAAACGTGTCGCACACATTTAAAGTAACAATAATAGCCGAGCGGCTTAAAGATACGAGGAAAGGAGTCGTTTAAATTAAGCCTTATGTAACTAGCAAATCAAGAGAAGATAAAAAACGCCCGGAATCTGATTTTCAAAAGGCAGTGTCGTTTTTAGGCGCTGGTAGTGACTCTTAAGCACGCAGGCATTTATACCTTGTAGTTTCGTGGCAATATTTACTTCTGTTAACAGACGTCTATGTAACCAAGCTGACAATGTAGCTTACAATGGAGATGAAAAGTATAAAGTGTTCCATTACTGTATTTATTTGAAATTGACCAGCATTTAAGTTTAAGTGTCTTTTCTCAAAAGATTAGGAAGTAAACTCCTGTATTATTGTTCCAAAGGTTAGCCTTATATTTGAAATTCAATTTTGGAGAAAACTATTTTCGGGTAATAGTTGAATAATTTAAGTATTACTATAGTAATACTTAAATTATGCAGTTATAACTGCAGGACTTTTGTAGAAAAAAATAAATGAAACAATATATTATAACTAGATTTAAAGAAAAAGAAACCTCTAAATAAAAAGTCCATGTATTATAGTAACCGCTATACTTTCAAAGTAGTATATAAAAATTATTGTAATGCAACTCCATATGGGGCCATGGAAAGTGTTCTGAATGCTTTTTATAGTGATTTGATTAAATACTACTCAGTCTGTACAACACAACAAACTAGTGATATAGATTGAGTTGGGATACAATATAGATAAATATTTTGAAATTTTATACATTGCCCAATCCAGAATTTCAGTTTTTAAATAAGTTTGTCATGGTGTAAAATGTCAGTTCTGAAAAAAAAAATCCTTAGGGTATATTTGACTTGTCAGAAAATGTTTTTTAAAGTTAGCTCTCATTCTTTTTATGCTGATGTAATAAATTTGCAAGGACTGTTATATTACAGTTCCATTTTGATAAATTGTTATTATAATGACCTAGGTTCCTGAAAGTTATTTAAGGATTTAAAATGTTAATGTTTTATTAAATTATATCATCCAAATTTGGAACCTTTTAAATCTATAAATAATTTTTGATTTATTGAACTTGGACCATTGCAGAAATGGGGATTAATATTTATATCCCAGACTCCTAATATCTTAACAAAATCTATCAGCTATCAATCAGCTCTGTACTGAATGAAACCTGAAAAAGTAGACAATATTTAGTTAATTTTATTGCACCAAGTCATATGTGTGACTTGGTGGCTCACAACAATTAAAACAATAACAAAAATAGTAGAAATGTATTAATAGTAGAAAGTTTAAAGATTGAATCATAATGTTGCAAAAATTGAAGTTATATAATTGGTAATAGTGTGAGATCCAGCTATATTTCCCTAAACGAACCATCAGAATTTAGGTGGATATTTTGAGTTTTGAGATTTGCCCAGCTGCTTATAGGATTTTATTTTTGTTTTTGTTTTATTTTTTTTTCCTTTAGCAAAATGGGGTCCAAACGCTTATCAGTACTTGTGGAGAATGAGGAAGACAAACTTGACTGAAATAAGTCAGATCTGTTATTGAAGCAGAAATCATGACTGAAATAAGTCAGATCTATTATTGAAGCAGAAATCATGACTTAAGGTCAAAAGAAGAAGAAATTATACACAGTTGACTAAGTCACATAGAGTAAGGCAAAATCTGATTTGAAAAACTGCTGTCAGCCCCATTATGTAGACCAAATCAAGAAATCCAAAAGTAGAGTGATTTTTAATATTGGCACTAGTAGTGGAGTTTTGTTTTTGTTGTTATGGCTCCAAGAGGGGCTGGAATCCTAGCTTCTATAGCCACTTTATTTACTTTGTTTTATTTTAAAGAAAAGATCAACCTATTGTATAATAGTAAAAATATGACAGTTCTCCTCACCTTGACATCTTTTTCTCACACATCCAAACTATCAACACTGTATTTGGACTATGGAAATGTAGACAACAACCATTAGTTAACCGTTAGCAGAAAGCAAACAAATCTTGGTTCTTGTCTAGTGGTTAGTTGGTAAATAATCCTTTGGCCAAAAAAATGGACAGAGCAGTTGATTTATACAAGTGCTATATTCATTTGGTGACTGGTAGCAACTTTTCCTGCAATTGATGATGTTGGATGAGATGCGAGTTTCAACCAGAAAAACTGCCAGTTATTTTACAGTGCCACACACAATACAGCTGGGCAGAATGGTGGCACAACTGGGTTCCAGGCATATTGTGGGGATGCTATGATTGCACTTAATATGATCCCTCATCAGGGTGGTTACTTTATACTGTTTCGTGCCAATTTAGTCTGTAACGCTAAGATGTTACATTGCAGAACAGTGATGAAAGCCAGTTGGTTAACTTTGGGTCAGTCATTCTCTCAGGCCAATCCACCTCACGGGGTTGTTGTGGGAAAGTAGGAAAAGGAAGATGTGTTGGATATGTTCGCCACTTTAAGTTATTTGTAAAATTCCTAAAGGCGGAACACTTAAAACTTCTTTTTTGGTAGGGGATTACTGTGTTGTCTTCAAAGTAAGCATTATTCATTAGCTTCATTTGTGTGTGTGTTTGTGGGTGGGTGGGTAGAATAACGATTCACCGTAAATTAAATATACCCGATTAGAAAGGTCTATATTATCTTAAAGGATGGTGTTTTCAAAAAACAAAAATCTTGTTATACATTGAGTTTAACACGTTCTCACAGGGTTACACCGAAATATCTCTCCAAAGTTAGGAGATCCCGGCCGAATCAAAGAAGAAGACAAGAAGCTAAAATTTACTCAGAGTTACTAATTCGATCTCCCATTTTCCACCGACCTTTTTAACCAACAAGATAACAATATAGAGCGGCAAAAGAGTTCTGTGGTCTGGCGACTTTCGAGAGTTGTCCCGCCACAAGATGACTGTCACGTGGTGTGCAGCGAGACTGAAAGGAGCGGGGACGTTTTTGATCGTGTGTGAGAGATGAAGCGAAGTTGCTTATCTCGCTCGGCCTGCTCAGGAGGCGGACAGCAGGTAGCGGAAAGCGCTGCCTTTACTCTCCCGCGAGATTCTTGATCCTACGCTCGAAGTTAGCCCTTTTCCCTCAGTTACGGGAAGACGGCAGGGGACAGGCGATGCTTCAATCCCCATCCCCCAAATCAGCCGCAATTTTATAGTGATAACAATAGGCTTCTGGCCTCCAGAAACCGACCATGAGGCGCTTTCTTCCCTTTTCAATTTCGATGCATCCAGAGACGGGCATCCTACAGGAATATGAATACAGGGTGGCTGAATTTTCACTACATTGAAGCGTTGTCATTGACAGCACCGTGCGTTGTGCGAACAGATTAATGAGTCGATGTAATCGTTGACTCCTGAGCCGCTTAAGAAGGATTTTGTATTAAGTGATGTATATTTTAAGGATATGGTCTTAAGCGTGTTTGCTTAGAAATAAATTTAATATAGGAGCAAATAAAAATACCTAGTCTGGTATGTAAAATAACTTATTGCAGCATTTTAGTACTAATAATACACAATTTTCGGAAATATAACGGTAATGAAAGACACATTCTTGTTTAGTTTACTTCATTGTCATTGCACCTTGCACAAAGAAATTAAATGCCATCTTCAGTGTACATTATAACTATAAAAATAAAATGCAAACACACATCCTTCACGTTCTATACAATTGAATTGAAAACCCGATATTGCATTAATACAATATACAGTAGAATTCTATACAGTAGAATTCAACATAGTGCTCTGAGATAGAAGCTGTATTTTAGCCTATTTGTCCTTGTTTTTATTTTCCTGTATTGTCTGCCAGATGGTAATAGTTAAAAAAAAGGGTGTGTGTGTGTCCAGAATAAGATTGATCTTTAAGAATGTTTTGAACTTTCTTAAGGCAGTGGGAGCTATAAAGCTCTTCCAAAGAGGGAAGAGGCAACCAATGATCCTTTGGGCAATGACAACCCTCTGAAGTGCAATCCTATCTGCCACTGCAATTGGCAAACCATATACAGATTCAGTAGTTAAAATACTCTCAATGGTGCTGTGGTAGATGGTCACCAGCAGTTATATTTCAATTGTTATATCTCAGTTATATATCTCAATTGTTTCACAATTGTCTACATTCCTCACATGGGAGATGAGCACTTACTGTGGATGAATATATATATAAATGGATATTAAAAGTTCTCTATCTTCTTGAAGTAAAAGGGGGAACAAGTTGCCTTGTATGTAAAACTAGCTGCTTTTTCAGCATTGCATGCGGTATATGTCGATTTATAAGATGAATGCTTTTTCCTAGTTAAAATAAACATGTACTGCTGCAGTTAACTTGCCTTCATAGAATTTATGCAAAGATATGTTAATTTCTCAATGTTTTTTTTCACCTAAATGCTCACCTTCCATCTGTTCTTTTATATACCATAATTTAATACTTCTGAAATGTATAAATCCAAACAATGTATGAAAACAATGGTTTAATATAGCCTAAAATGTAACAATAAAAGAGAAAGTTTGTTGTTAAAGACATTTGTTGAATAGCAGGGAGAAAAAAGAGGGGGAAATTGTTTTGTTCTGTTGCAGAAAATTGAAGTAGAAGTTGAATTTGTTAAGGTCAAAAAGAGAGCTTTGGAGAGGTTGACAACTGAAGTAATGCAGTTGCATGACATTCTACCCAAGATATTGAATAGTGATGTCTTAGAAAGCTTTCAGAAACTGGATGCCCTTGAAACAAGTAAGTTCTCCTATATTAACCACAATTAATTCATAGAATAGTGTTGAATATTCTATGAAAATAAGACAATTGTTAATATTATTTGGTTGTATTCCTGCTTTCTGTTCTTTTTATATTCTATATGCAAGACAGGAATATAGTAAAAATACTTAAATATAATATACAAATTTATTGGTTAGGAAAGACCCTACTTTTTTGTTTAAAAGAAATTAAGGTGCAAGAGTGAAGAATGTTAAGTAATATGAAATATTGGAA